CGCTCCGGTGGATGCTGCGAAATGAGCCCATCAAGGCCGGACGGAGGAGGAATGTTGGATTGGAGGGATATTTTTGCGGTTGGAGAAGGTGAGATACTAGATAAGCGTTGAGGCACTGCCGGTTGGTATTGGGCCATCCTCGTCACCCTCGCCCTGGTTGCGACCAGGGTTTCTTTGCTTTTTCCAGACAATTGATTACTTGCCGAGCCAAACCCGTTTGCTGGCTTTCTTCCTGCATCAGACAACGAAAAAGAAAATATGGAGGGAGTTGAGAGTTGGGAAATCAATGCGCTTCCAGATGTAAGGAGCTAGAAGGTCGTTTTCTTTTCCTTTTGCTTTCCCCCCCTTTTTTTTTTGGGCTCTTTTCCTGACCGTTATTTAAAAGATGGAAAAGACTGTCATATCTGTCTGACCATACCATTTTATGGAGCAGACCAGGCAAAGATGGATAATAGGGAGTGATAAAAAGCTAAAACGCAAAACAAAAGAAGGCGCTGATAGCCGTCGTAGAAATAAAGAATAGAAAATCCCCGAAAGGCGAAAGAGTGAAGTTATTACTGCGAATTGCTATGATTTCAACGGAGTGTTTACCGGAAGAAGGTCCCAGGAACAGGCGCACCACAGGCGCACCACGAAGGAATGGTTCCACAGGAGACGATTCGACGAACCTAACTGGGCGAGATCGCCCAAAAGAAAAAAACCAGCTGAGAACCACGGGAGGACAGCGAGACCGGAGGAAGGCTGGCAGCGTGGGAGTCCAGATGATGCGGGTGGCACAGCGAGTAACTGGCCCTGTTGACGCTGCTTCAGAGATACAACAGCTGGAGGGAGGAGAGGACAAGAGCGACAAAGAGAGACCGCGAAGAAAATGAGGAACACGCGAGAAGAACGCGAGGAAGCAGATCAAGTCACGATTCTTGGTGATAACCGACAACTAGCTAGGCCCCAGATAGAGAGGTTGCATGTACTGTAATATGGGCCCTGTATCCTGTGGGGCCATCACGGAATTTCAGAATTGTAAAGGAAAAGGAGCGAGCACTCGAAGAGGAAGAAAGATTGTTAAATGCCGGAGCTCCAACAGCTCTGTTGGGTTCAATGAGATACCTAGCCTCCTGTCCGTCCAAGACATAAAAACGGCAGTTAAACTTCACAGCCATTTCATGCAGAATCGAAGAAAGAAAGAAGAGAATCCTCTGCCAAGTATCGAATAATCACCGTGGGCCAGAAATGTGGAGCTCCACCGCATCCAACGCCGAATAATGGCGGACGCTTCAATAGCGCTGCGACGCCACTTGCTGCTAACAATCACCCCGGCCAGCTTGGATGCGGGCTACACTTTCGAGGGTTGTTTGTCGTTATTTCAAATCTCGTCATCATCCATGACTTACAGGGGAGATCAGGGGGAAATCCTTTGGATGGGTTGGTTTCGTGGAATTGGGGATGGATAATTACACTCGGACAAGAGCCGCTAATTTTTTATAGATATTTGCAGACAACCTCCATTACATACAAAATAACCATGTCATTGAAGAGATATATGGCGCTGGTACGGAGTAGCCAACTATCATATCGTCAATAGATATCATACCATATCAGCCTAGATATTATCTTAGATACCACCGATATATCCATATATTGATAGATATTGATAGATATCATATCATCAATACCAGTACTAAACATGATCAGTCCCTATCGCTTGCTAGATCGTTGCAATAAACCAACCTTCCACCTCCATCAGATCTATTATTATAATATATGAACTACATGAAAGTAAGATATCTATGTGATAAGATAGCACTATGACCACTAGGTTATTCATAGCAAAAAGCCAACATAATCATTTGTTAAATGATTGTGCTCATAGTGATATATATATACCTGCGGATGTGGTGATGTGGTGGCCGTGGTCATCCATTCCATCATCTATACACTGTGGTTGCCAGTCACAGCATAGTATGAGAACCACAGCTATAAAATAGTTGCAAACGTATAAGCTAACTTGAGATAGTATATATATATATTCCCCTTCTTTCTATCATAGTTATTAGCTCTTGTATAGATTTATGATGAATGTGGAAGATTGATTCCTTGGAACTGTCTAGCAGTGCTGATTATAATAACAGCTAGAAGCTATAATAGCTTTGTATACCAGTACACTATATAATAGAAAGATATGAACCTCTGAAAGTGATTATATCAGTATAGAAAAGTTGATAGTAACTATCTAATATATGTAGTTAGCTACCAGCAGTATACATACCTGTATCTCTCTTGATGACATGGTTATTTTGTATGTACGCGGCGTAATGAAAGGTGTATGTATGCACTCCACCTATAAAATATTTAGTGGCTCTTGGCCGGGTATAATTAGCCTCATCCCTGTCCCTTTGTCTAGCCATCCGGCGCTGGAGTTTGCTGCATGAAATTCCAATGCCTGTGCAGGAGTTACTCTTGAGCTCTGGGGTGGGTTTGTATGCGCTGGGGGATGAAACCGACAGACCGTCTTCCATGTCGTTTCTCGTTTCTCCTTTTAACGTAGTATGCCAGTTCACGCATGGACACGAAAGGGTAGAGCTGAGAGAGTGTGCCCCTGATGAACAACATCCTTGGATATACTGCAGAGAAATCGTGCAAGGGAACAGCCAATATTATCATCTTCGTTAGTTCACTGCTCGATATTACGATGTGCTGCACATCCCCGCTTCCCCAGCTCAGATTACCCCGACTCGAACAGCCTAACCATTATTCTTTCCATGTTGATGTCCTCCATGCATGAATGTCATTCGAAAGATATTATTGATACAGCACGGGAGAGGCTGGCAGACCCTGGCATGGACTGGGGTTTCTCTCCTCGGCAGAGTCTAAAGGCGAGCGAAGGCGATGGCTGCTAATTTCTTTCTGCTCGCAGGGAATTGCAATTCCATGCCAAACCGTGATAGTTACTATGATAGGTGGTGTACAAAGTACTTGGACAGACGAGCAGACCAGCGCAGAACCTGAGAGTCCGGGAGTTGATAGATAGTCGTATACGGTACTCCGTACAGAGTAGAAACAAAACACGATTTGCCACTGCCTGTCGCTGCTGCACATCCACCTTTCAATAGTTTCCCCCATTGGAGGCTTTCTATGAACATCACACTGCGAAGTAAGCACTGATCAGTGATCGTCGGCAAATCATGACGCTCTCAAAGTCCGACCACGTATTTTTTCTTTTCTTTTCTTTTCTCTTCATCCTCTACTGAAGTTTGATCACTAAGTTGTTTAAGCTCGACACTTCAAAATCAGCTGTGCACACACAAAAAACAAAAGGGAGGCGGGGAGAGAGAGAGAGAGAAGGGGCTCCCGGAATAAAGCAAAAATTGATATGATAGCATTGGCACGGGGGTTGGGCAAAAGGCAAAGGAGGAAGCACATCCTTCATCGTGAACAATCAATCTGTCCGTTGTAAAATCCTCAAAAGATTCCTTCATCCCACCAATTTGCCACCTTAACTCCTAAACTATCAGGCTGGAGTCTAACTATTGTCGCAAAATTCAGCGCAATGATCATTGCATAGCCCTTTGAGCCACGCGCGCCGAATGCTACTCATGAATGAACACTAATGGAGGAAGCTGTGTTGGCCTTAACCGTTGGCCGTGTGCTGACTGTGAGGCATGAGAAGAAATGTCATGGGAGTGTGGAGTTGATAAATAAAATAGATAGATAATGGATTTCTCTGTCTGTACTCTGTATGATCGATACCTCGGACCTAACTACCCATCTACTTGTATAATATCTTTCTTTATACCGAGGTATGTAGAGGTAACTAACTGCTTAAAAGATACAAACCCCTCCCCAAACATAACAGATGCAACGGAAATTAAAAATAAGAATTTAAAATTTAAACATCCGTAGGTGCTAGTACTACTGCTTGCCCCGGATTGTTTAAGAAAACACAACTCTCCAGCATCCCAGACCCTGCACAGAGCAATGTACTGTACAGTTATTACTCTCAAGTTAACTCACCATCTCTCCCCGCTTTCAAAATCTCATCATTTCCCCACCAGTCCAGACTCGTACAGGGTACGAGATATCTACTGCGTAATGAATCAATCCCTGATTCTCTCCTTAGGCTCCCTTCTAGTCCCCTTCCCTCTTGAACCTCGCTTATATTCGAGTGAGAGGTCCGGGATTGACAGGGGTTAAGATGGGGGGTTAAGATGGGGAAGGGAAGATGCGGGGCATAAGAAAGGGGGAGGGGATTGTGTTACCTTGCCCCCCCCCTTGCATGCTGGTTCAAGGTTCAGAATAAATTCAAATGCTTCTCCCACGGTGTAGCTATAAAGAGGAGGACGCGAGGTGCTGGAGCCGGAACCGGATGTTCACGAAGTAGGACAAAGGGCGGACAATGTGGGGAAGAAGCGGAAGCGGAAGAATAAGAATAAGACTAAGAAGATTTCATCACTTGCTGCTCTTTTCTCATCGTATTTTGCTTTATTTTTGTTTTCCCCCGCATTTTGAAAACAGCATCTTTCTTGACACAATAACACATGAAAACGATACACCTTGCCACCATCAGATGAGACATGGATATGCACATCACGTTCCGCAAGGATTAAAAAGAAAAAATAGAAAAAGAAGACGAAAAAAAGAAAGAGGACAGCAAAGAAAATGCTCAGAAATATACGATTGAGATTTACTCAAACGTTGAGCGTTGCGGGGATAGAGTACATGTAGATCTGGGAGATCGGAAAACAATGGGGAGTTGGTGACAGATGATTATTGAAAACACGGAGCAACATTGCTTATAAATGCGTTGAAAGCGATGGAGAAGAATTTGAAAAGGGGTGCGTGGCGCAAGATTAAGAACAATAATAAGAATGAAAATAGGGGCGATATCAGCAGCAGTCCCACACGCATCCTCCATGAACATACTCACTCCTTTTCCCGCTCCTTAAACCCCCACCCAAGCAAGAAATACTGAAAGGGTAAAAGATAACGCACCTCCTTCTAATCCTTCACACACTTGCACTTTCACACAAACTACCATCTTCACCTTCGCTCCCACTTCCCACTCCACTCTCGCTACTAGGCTCAAAGATACTAATCGGACTCCCGAGCTTACTCAACCTCACTCTCTTGCGACGGTTATAACCGTTCTCCCCCTCCGAGCCGCTCACGACAATTCCCTCGCCGTTGCCGTAATCACTGCCAAGGTCATTCCCATCCCGCACCCACTCAGCTGGACGGGTCTGCGTCTGTATACCGTTGAAACTTTGGCGCGCCTGATCCTCCCCATCGGCACCACAGGCAATCCCAGAGCCCAATTCGGTGCCCATGATACTGCGTTTTTGCTTCTGCTTCTGAGCCTGCATCTGCGCTTGCACCTGCGCCTGGATCGGGGACTGAGAATTACCCTTAGGCTGCACCGGTTTTGCAAAATCCAGGCTCGACCCGAGTGTCTTCCATGCACTTCGGATCTCATTCGCTTCGGGGGTAGGCATTGCGCCGACTGCACCGGCTATTCCACCATTCCTGCGTTCGCGGCAACGCTGTTCGTAGCCAGGGCTGTAGCTTGAAATCAGAGCGCTGTGCCTAATCGCCAAAACACAAAATGGTACGCTCTTTTTGGTTTGTTTTGGCGGCTTGAATATAGCATTGACTTACCTGTCACGGGGCACCTCCTCGACTGACAGAACATCTGTTGAAACATCCGATGATGAGTGTTCGACGCTGCCGTCACGCTGCACTGTGTGTCCATTCTTATTATCCGATAGGTTGTACTGTAGAACAAAACGAGGGTAAAGAAATCAACATCACGAACACATTTATTTCCATCTGTGCCTGGCCCGAACACGAACGAAAAATGAAAAATAAAACATACATGATGTGATATTTTCGCGAGAGGATTGAAGATCTCATTCCGAAGCCTCTCCTTAATCGCGGGTTCAGTGGACAGGGTGAACTTCGGAAGCCCCTTTTCCAAGAACCCCTTTGACTTGGAGGCCGGGGGTTGCGAGCAGAAAACCCTGCTTCCTCAACATATCCGTAATCTGGACAATTGTCTGGCCGTTGCAATCTGCACGAAGAAAAGAAAGAAAAGAGCGAGTTTCCTTTTCGTTAGCATCAAGCATTCGCCCAACCATGGGGTTTGCAATGATCAATTTACGTACTCAACTTCTGAGCAAAATCGCGAACGCGATTCGGATAGCCCTCTTCGACAATGACCAAAAGAGCCCGACGCAGCAAAACCAGCGTCCGCATATCCTGCACCAGGTCTCTTTCTTGCGGTTCCAGCAGACATTTGTAACATGCCTGAGTTTCTGGGATGGCTGGATCCTGCGCATGGGCGAACCCGTAACAGGTCGGATGCTGCCGAGTTTTGCAGAAGGCGCATTGGAGCTGATGTAAAAGTGGTAATGAATGAAGTTAGTTTACGCTTATGTTACCTTGGGGATATGGACGTACCATGCTGGGACTGTCTGAGTTCGATCCACACTCACAACGGACGATTCCAGGGTGGCAAGGACCTGAACGTTCCTTGTTCTGATCATATCGAAGTGAATCTAACACCTGGTTCCGCGCTCCCAATTGTAAAATTTTGACTTGAGAGAGCTGCGGTTTTGCTGTTGCAGCTTGGAGGGGGTCAGGGTTCCTCTGAGTTGGAATGAAATCACTGTCAGGGGTCGAAGTTGCCAGCTATAAATGGACAGAATTTTTTGAAGTTAGCCGCCTGGATTTCAACAAATTGTCGCCATATTCATCCGAGAAACATATAATATCAAATACCGGAATCATTTTCTGCAAATCTCTTTTAAGAGCTTCATCTTGGCGGGTCTGAGTAGAAACCTGGCTGCTTTCTATTTTAAACCCGTAATTTTATCAGCCCACGTATCGAAGGAAATATTCACATATTTCCTAGAAATCCACACAAAACGAACCTTGAGTCGACAATCCAAGATCCCGAACGGCGGTATCCACGTCACTAATACCGATATCTTCATCACGGCGAACTCTATCGCTATACCCAATGTCTGCTGGGATTTCAGGTACATATTCCGAGCTCGGGTAGTCCGTCCCAGACCATTTCAAAGAACTAATCTTTAACCCAACACTTCAAACGCGGGAAGAAAGGTAATATTAGCTCGCCGGTGCATATGTTGATACAAGGACAGATGAAAGGATGAAAATATGCTGCTTGTAATATATCATAAATACCTGTGGATCCCCGTCTCCATTGCACCACACGACTGCGTTTCCCTCGACCACAGCTCATTCTGCGCGAATAACAGGTCGTTATGCTCAGCGGTCTTGAATCCAGGGGGTTCGTATTCCGGAGGGGAACCCTCAGTGTAAAAGAGATGTATTTCCATGTACCGTTCGCCTAACAGATTAAAAACCCTTTAGCAATTGGACATTAACTGTTCTTTAGCAAAAGCAAGAAGAAAAGAAAAGAAAAGAAAAGAAAAGAAAAGAAAAGAAAAGATTGTTTTAGAACACATACTCGGGAGCATAGGTAAAAACGCACTCAGCGTAATCAGGCGGCGAACGATCATCTCCAAGCCACGCCGTGCCGTCCTGACCGTTTTCATATCCGCTGTACAACCTGTCGATTCGAGGACGACACTAGATAACCTCTTGCCGATATCATCGCCAGCCCCTTTTTGTTTACATCCCCCGATATACTTGAAAGTGAATGTATAGCTTTCCAGCACGTGCGAGGATTCCGTTTTGTCCACGAAAACGGTCATCTGCACCGCTTCCAGGAAGCTCTTCTCAATGGCGTCGAATATCCCGTGTTCCTAGACACACAAAATAGTTAAGCAGCAGATAGAAAGCATAAGAGCCAAAGAAAAACGCAAAGATAGAAAGATAGAAAGAGAGGAAGTTAGAAAGGTAGCAAAGAACTTTCAGCACGTACAAGAAGATCAAGCAACTTATCCGCCTTCGGATTCTTGCCGCGCACGATAATCTTCAACGGTTGTGCGCGTCTCTCCTGGATATTTCTCCTGTTGTTATGATTAGAAGTGTAACCTGCCCCATTGGTGCCCAGCTTGTCTCCTGCGCTTCCTCCTTCGACAAAGTTGGCATATGACATGAATGAATCCGGTTTCGAGAGCTTCAAGAGATCACGTTCATCGAAGCAGTCTAGAGGTAAAAACTCTCTGGACAAAAGAAAAAAGCAAAAAAGATCACAAGAGAGAAGAGTCAGTAATGGGAAGAAGAAGGTAAAGAAAAGGGGAAGATACGTATACTTTCTTCCCCTTCATTCAGCCACGTCGACTCGTTTTCCGTCTTCCAAATGGTCGACAACTGGAAAGAGAGTTGAGGAGTCTTACCTCAGGTAGAACAAGGTGCCAAACTGGGTTGTTATAGGAGACAAGGGAGTGGTGGGCATATGTTAGCTAATAAGCCCCGTCCAAGCATCATCAGAACCAGTGTGGTAAGGGAGTTTATAACTAACAGAGGCATGAAGCATGATCTGGACTAAGGCCAGGCTCTGGTCTTGTGTTATGGCCTGGGCTTGCTGCTTCTGCTTTTCTTTCTGTGCTGAGGCTTGCATGACAGTTGTAGTGCTCACGCCAGGTGTCTTGGATGCCATCTTTGTTCCCGCTGTCTGCTGGACTGCACCAGTGAAGATGACGCGTGCCATTTGTTTGATGGGGCCTTGATGAAGTTAAAAAAATGATAAGATATGATCAATAGTGCAGATCGAGAGAGCTATGGGCATTTGGGGATGCTGTGAGTTGAGGGGTTAAAGGAGAGTTGAAGCCAGGACAAGCTTGTCTTGGAGAAGTTCTGCAAGGTGCAGCAATAGAAGGGGAGCAGTGATGGGGATCTGGGATTTCCAGACTTTTTGTAGGATATTCACAATCTGACAAAAGAATGCGGATGAGAGATGGAGATGCTGAAGTGGAGTTGAAGGAAAACAAAGCGAAGTGGAAGACAGGTAGGGAAATGGATGGCGTGTGGTGTGAATGTGAATAAAGAAGAGACAAAAGATAGGCGACTATTTATACCAGTCCTTTCTTTAATCATCAAGACAATCAACTAGGAGAACAAGCACCCATAACATGAAAATGTGAAGTCAAGGCCTTTTTAATAATATGTCATCTTCTCCATAGATATAATGGAGGTCTTGAATGGATGTTTTTCCTTTTGTTCCAAAGAACGGTGTTTTAACATAAAATTAGTTGTTACTATCGCCCGTTAGAGCAGAATCGCCTCTGAGACATCAAAGTCCCGGGAATAAAAGAAATGAGAAAATGAGGCAAGAATGCATAGCTGAACGGAGTGTTGATGGTCAATCAAAGTCATATTTTTACCATTTTCATTTCCATTTTGACGTTGCTATAAGAATCGAAGAAGAAAACATAAAGAAATTGATATTCCTTGGATGGAACGAGCAGCAATCTCGAAACGATTACGAGGACCCGCTTAGAGAAAAATATACAATAACCACAGATAACTGCTTAGAGATGCTTGGTATTACATCAGAACCATAAGGCAATCATGCCCCCACTATTCAGATCAGAGAACGACCTTGAAAGGGCGCATCCTGGCGGCATAACGAATTCAGCACGCCGGCGCCGTTGGCGCCGTTGACGAGATATCTTCTAGATATCTTCTGGAGAGAAGCATGAGACAGGAGTATAACTAAGAAACCAAAGGTGCATTGGATATATTTACGATGCTGAAACTGCTTGATATGCAGCTGTCGAGCCTTGCATCTGGAGGGTATATGTAGAAGAAAAATGCTCCTTAGAAAGGATGTGCAATCTATGCAAAATTCGAAGAAAGCCTTCCTTTCCATCCCGATGTAGTCAATGTTTTGTCTATTTTCAGCAGGCAAGGGGGAAAAAAACAGAACATATCAGCCAAGAGTAGGAACCAAGTATATTGTATTGTTTAATCCAGGGTCAGATATGCAATAGTTATTGAACACCCGGTGTAGTTTGATTTTCAGTCGATAAGCTCGAAGAAGGGGGCTTATACGCGTCAAAACGTATTTGGATGGTCAAAATATCAAATAAGAATGGAAAAGGTTTCGGCGAGAGATCGCGGGACAGCCTCGGTTGGAGCCATGAGACGCCCCAGCCGCTGGGATACCAAACCTTAAACCTTGACAAGGAGGAAGCAGAGCCCGTGGGGAGGGCAACAAGATGCATGGAACTGGGGTCCCAGAATCGAGAATACTGCTCCACACATAGGACATGCATAGATAGAGAGATCCTCTCATTCCATTGAGTGGGTTGGCCGCCAGAGGCCAAACAACGAAAGGACAATCAATACCGCCCTGTCAACAAACCAGTAGGCGCCGGGCGATGGGAGCCAGAAGTACCAGATACCTTTATAGTCGCCAATCAAAAGCGGTGGTAGCATGAACCTGTACATACATCTTTTGCTGTCAGAAACCAGCCACGCGTAACCAGGGAAAATGCAACAAGGCACAGACAGGCAGAGCCGCGGAAAGGCGAACGACGCCTTACCAGAGTTACCGTACAGGAATATAGCGATTACACAGTACCATACCGTGTTGTTACCAAGCCTGCTGCTTGCCCAAGGTCGCAGTGGGGCTTAACCGCACGTCGTGTCTGCCACTGCCATCTCTCTTCCCCTGCCCTCACCTTCTGCGTTGCTCTGCTCTCCTCCTCACATCCTCTCCTCCTCTCTTCTCTTTCTCCTCCAGTCCGTGGTCAGTCCGTGGTCACCAACCGCCAGCAGCAACTGTGCCTCACGTCTGCACTTGCTTTCCCGCCTTCTGCTGTGTTCTTGCTGTTCCTGGCATGCCCCGGGTGTTGTTTTCTTCTGATCTTCTTCTGTGATCCACTCCCCTCGCTTCTTCTATATCCTCTGGCCTCATCTCCTCCTATCCGCACACCCAAGCTGCTAACTTTCTCTTCTCTTGAGTGTTTGTGGGGTTTTGTTTTTGGTCTATTGGGCTTCGGCACCCTCCCAACTCCTGTGTCTCGTTTCTTGTTTCCTTGCCGTGTGCAAGTCTGGCGGGCTGCTTCTATACCTCCAATTTCACATCCTCCCACAACCCCCTTCCAGCACCAAAACACAAACACATTTATTCCACCCACTCCTTTACAACTTGAACGCCCCTCCCCCTTCACGACTACGCGCTGAGGCTTGCTCGGGTAGTCTTGACTGAACAGTTGCACCGAGCCCCGTCATCCTTGCACCCGGAAAACTCTATCATGATTTCATGACTTACTTGGAAACCCAAGTACGTTGAGGGTCGGAGCTTTATGCGTTGAGTATCAATACAGCCTTACAGTCTCCGGAACCTCGACCCATCTCGATTCCTGATATCGCGGCCATGTCCCGCTCCCCTACCAGCACCAACGATACCACAGACGTCAGTTGCATAACTCGGTCTCGGAACGCGTCTCTCTCGCCAGTCCTGTCTCCTCCTGAACGCTCTGAACCATATACATCCTTTTCATCTAGCTTCGAGCACCCCAATACCGACGATACGAAGATGGATCGTCTAGATCGTGTCGAGCGTCTTCCCCTAAACAGCTCAGTTGGCCAGTTTTCCTTTGCTCCTACCACTCAAACTACCGTCATTACAACCACCACAACAACCACTACGAACTTCCCTCCACTGGTCATGAAAAGCCCCGGTTCGTCCAAACTTCTTGACCCCAAGATTTACCCTCTAGCCGCTACTCCCACCCCTGATTCGATAAGAGACATCCATTTTGAGCTTGGTGACACCTCAATCGTCTTCAATGAGTCCGAGGATTCGGCAGACACTTTCGAAAAGGTGAGGATTTCCTTTTGGCTCTGTCCCTCTGTTTTGAATGGGCAAATGTTATCCGAATTTTTGCGTTTTATATGCGCGAAAAAGCCAAGAAGGGAAGAAACAAAAAACTATCCCTCTTTTCTAACGTACAGAATAATAGTCGAAAGCGCAGAACGAAGCCCTGAAAGTATCTGATGGTCTTATTCGGTCAATATCAACCTATGATTCGCGAAAAACCTCCATACCCAGACGCTCACGTCCCGCAGAGGACCCACGCCAAAGACTGAGACGGCGCCCAGTATCTCCGATTTCTCTACCCGAATCTTCTCATGAAATGAAACGGACGCGTTCTTCCACCGCTCTTGCGGCCGACTCCAACAACCGTCGTCGTAATGCACAGTCACACCTGGACGCTGCTCGACTGAACAAGGATGTTGGTTTGACTACTCCAGAAACAGAACACAACAGCTTCAATTTGAGTAGCGATCAGAGCTATCGTCGACGAATCTGCAGTTTGGGTTCTTTTGGAAAATCATCCTTCGAATATTCTCCCAAATCTTTGGCGGAAGAAAACCAAAAACTCCAGAATCCGTTACCACACTTGCGCAAAGACAAGGACCACCAAGCCCAGAAATTTCCATTGTTTGAGCGTCGAGCTGGATTTAATACTGAGGAGCTTTCTTGTCGATCGATAACAAACGATAATATTAATTGTAATTCGAAGCAGCTGGGTAGTAGTGTGGGGCAGCCTATATTGAGGCCGACGCGTAGAAGCTGTTCAGCGGCAAATTCGGCCACGAGGACGACTCAGGCTCCAGCTGGACGCCTAAAGGCCGTTGATAGTCTTGCTGCCCAAGATATGTGCCTTCCAAGTCCGAGTCTCTCCCCCATAATGGCTTTGAATGCTCAAAGTCTTGATACCTCTTTCGAAGAACAAATGAGTGACACAGATTCTAGTCTTGATCACTGCTCAAAAGCGCAAAAAGGAACTACGGAATGTACGCTCGCCAAAGGCCACTTTGGGAAAGGGGTAGCTAATGCTGCTGGTTCATCATCACAGGCTTTGTCATTGATGGATATGCCTTTGATGCTGGATTATTTTGAGTCCATCCCGGACAAGCTAAAAACTTACATGATGTACCAGCTGTTGCGAAGATGTCCAAAGCCGACGTTACGCTTTGTGGTTGGTGTCGTCGATCCAGCTCTCAAATGTGATTTCTTAGCTCTTCTCCCTCTGGAGCTCAGTCTCAATATTGTCAAGTACTTCGACGTTAAAACTATGTGTCGAGCTTCGCAGGTTTCGAAGAAATGGAGGCACATCATTAACTCGGATGAAAAGTCCTGGAAAGAACTCTTCGAGGCAGCTGGATATGTTTTACCGCGAGGAGAGCTACATCGTGCTATTGAGGAAGGCTGGGGATGGCAGTGTCCATATCCAGGGGATGAGGAAAAGGATCTTCGCTCTCCGACTGCTCTTAAATCTGATAGCGAGAACTCTTCTGAATCTACCTCGTCCTTGGCATGGTTATCGTCGCGGAAAACGAGACAGAGCCTGGGTCCTTTGTCGGTCGGCTCCCGACGACCCAAACGGAAAGCGACAACCAGGGTTACAAGTCGAAAGCTGGCTAAGAGGAAGTCTGGAATATCCGCTCAACCTGAACATCTAGAGCCTATCGGCTTGATGGACAACTTGATCGCTGCAGAGAGCCCATACGCTGCAGCCAATGCCGCTGCATTGGCAGTTCCGTATCCTGAAGTTGGGCTACCATCCCTACGAAGCTTGCACCTCTACAAATCTCTATATCAGAGACACCATTTAATTCATAAAACATGGATGCGGGACGATGTCAAACCCATGCATATTGCTTTCCGTGCTCACGACCGTCACGTCGTTACTTGCCTACAATTCGATACAGACAAGATTCTCACTGGAAGCGATGATACCAATATTAATGTGTATGACACCAAAACCGGAGCGTTACGAGCTACTCTTGAAGGCCATGAAGGAGGTGTATGGGCGTTGGAGTATCATGGCAATACACTTGTTTCAGGATCTACGGATAGATCGGTCCGTGTGTGGGACATTGCAGCCGCTGAGTGCACCCAGGTCTTCCAAGGACACACTTCCACTGTCAGATGTTTGCAGATCTTGTTACCTGTTGCAATTGGAAAATTGCCGGATGGAACGCCAAACATGATGCCAAAACAGCCGTTGATCATAACAGGCTCTCGGGATTCGAACTTGCGGATTTGGCGACTTCCTCAAAAGGGAGATCCGCGCTATTTCGACAACGGCTCTGACGCTGACAATCCCTACTTTGTTCGTTCATTATCTGGCCATCAACATTCTGTACGGGCTATTGCAGCCCACGGCGATACCCTGGTTAGTGGAAGCTACGACTGTACAGTGAGAGTCTGGAAAATATCAACTGGCGAGGCGCTTCATCGCCTCCAAGGCCATACCTTGAAAGTTTACAGCGTGGTGCTGGATCACAAAAGAAACCGCTGCATCAGTGGATCCATGGACAACATGGTTAAAATCTGGTCCCTTGAAACAGGTGCAGTTTTGTACAACCTTGAAGGGCACACATCCCTTGTGGGACTTTTGGACCTTCATTCAGACAAGCTGGTATCAGCCGCAGCTGACTCCACACTGCGGATTTGGGATGCGGAAAACGGACAGTGTCAGAGTGTACTTAGCGGCCATACCGGCGCCATCACCTGCTTTCAACACGACTACCAGAAAGTCATCTCCGGCTCTGATCGTTCTTTGAAGATGTGGGATGCTCGGACTGGAGAATTTATCAAAGACCTACTCACTGATTTGAGTGGAGTTTGGCAAGTTAAATTTAATGATAGGAGATGTGTTGCCGCTGTCCAGCGAAACAGGTTGACCTATATTGAGGTAATTTTTTCAGACCGCCCTTTTGCTACTTGTTTTTCGAACACTTCTTCCAATTATTTAACTATCGGCTGACCCGTATGTCGCAGGTACTTGACTTTGGCGCATCTCGCGACCGTATCCCTGTTGAGCGTCTCGGGACGCGTATCGTCGTTGATAGAAATGGGGAAGAGACCGGAGAAGATGAAGGTCTCGCAGACCGCGGAAGTTCAGACATATAAGCAATAGCCCTATCGTTCATTTGGCACCTAGTTCGAACAAGAAAATAATATGATTGGCCGCTACTCTCTCGATCCATTCTTGTCGATAATATACTTCCGCATGATGACTGTTCAGTCTTGCTGCAGTCATCCTTCGAATTTTATTTTCCAGGGCTTCAACACCATCCACTTACTTGAATCCCGAAATACCGATCCTAACTACCCGACCACTTCAGAGACAATGAAAGTAACAAACAAAAATCTTTTCGGGGACATCGTTATAATAAGTCTTGGAATTTGCCTTGCCATGTTACCGCGTCGTATTCTCTCTCCTTAAACACAATATGCAGTCTACCGGGAGTGAACCTCCAGCCTGGGTGGCAGGGTAAAGCACCAACTCTATCATCTTATCACTTTTTTATCACGATATTTGACTAATGACCCTTTCCTCCTTTTTCTCTTGCAAAAACCCTTCTTCATTCCATATTCTTCAGATTTTTTTTTTTCCATTGTATTTTCATCTTCCCATTTTTTCCTTCTCCTGATTCACGATAACTGCCATGTATATCTAGTCACAATGTTTAGCATGCCTTCTGCTTCTTTTTTCTCCAGACATAACATACCTATGAATTCCATTTCTCATAAATATATTTATTCATCCCTTTACGAGCATCTCTTCGGCATGTTTTTATTTTAATTTCATGTTATCCTTTCTTCATGAGACGTTTGCCTGAAATCAGCACAGTTGTGGGAAACAAAAATGTTGTTTTATATCGATACACACACGTACGCATAAAATACAAGCGTTTGCTTCGTCCTACTCAACTTTGTCCAGTTTTCAAAGGCCTATACTTTATTTGCAACTGTTATTCCGTTTATATTCTATGATTAGGGGATCTCTTCCTTACATATAAGATGTTCAAAATATCTGCTTAGGGTAATATCAGTACGAAGCTGTTTTCTTGTTGGAGGGGACGGGTTTAAGTTAATTTCCATGTATCAAGTACGACATATCTTAAAAAATGGAAGACCCGATCGATATATATCTAGTATCTGTACGATGGCATACGGGGAATTTATATAATTCCATAAAACAAACGCCATGCTCTATGCTCTAAATACCAAGATTAAAAATATGACCCTCGCTAACCACCCAGTTCTTCACCGCCCCTCTCCGCAATGCCCATACCAACCCCGTTCCCCTTTTCCCCAATGTCAATCCCCAATCCAGCCGCCCTAAGAATCGACCACCGAATCGCATCAACCCCCAAAATCCCCTCTCCACTCTTCATCTTAGTCGAACAGGTTAAGATTTCCCCGAGCGCCGGAATCCCCAGCTCCATCCCAGCAGGCTCCGCGGGCAGCTTGTTACCATCACCGCCACCCACAGCATCATCATTATTATTATCATCATAAATATTCCTATTCGGCCGCCTCTCTATCTTCTTCTTTTGACTATTACTCACAGTCACGTTCCTGACAGGCTGCACCTTTGCGCGGATCCCGCCAGCGAAGCGGCCAAGCTCCTCTATGCGTTCGGGACGGAGGCCACGGGCACCCTTTTTCAGCCCGCCTTTGATGAGGACCGAGTCTACCTTTGAGAGGATTACTTGGTGTGGGACGGCCGCGGAGCGGAGGAGGGAGAGGATGGCCGCGTCGGCGGGTTTTATGCCGTGGTGGGAGTCGAGGAGGACAAATGTGCGGCGAAGCCTGGGTGCGGTTTATAGTTTTGTTAGTAACGGGAGCGCTTTGTGTGTATACATACATATATATATATATATATATTTGTATCTATTTAATTGGCATACGGAGAGGGATGACACACTGCCTCCGCTTCGTCAAATACTTCATAATCACCTCCCCCCACTCCTCATGGCTCCCCTTACCGTAGCCAGGCGTATCAACAAGAACAACCCTCGCCTCCCCATCTTTCCGGCCCCCGATCCCGTACGCATTCAGTGTCCTTGTCCGCCCGACCTTCGACGACGTGAAACAGAGGCCCTTCTCCATAATCGCATTCAGCAGGGATGATTTGCCCACGTTCGACCTACCCAGGAACACCACCTCGGGCACATCGGACATGGGGATCGTGCGGAATTCGCTGGCCGTCCACATCTGTATGGGTGAGTGGTTGGAGGCTCTGAACAGGTCCGCGCCATATTGGAGTTGTTGTTGGGTTGGGGGCGCTGTGTCATAATAGAAGCAGTAGTCGTGCAGTTGGAGTTGGATGGGCGGTGAGGCAGTTGTGGGGCCAGTGCGGGTTATTTTTGGCTTGCGTTCGGTGGCCCTGAGTAGGGCTTTCGCTGTGGTGGTTGCGATGGAGGCTGCGGATTTTGTGGCGGCCATGCCTGTGGTTTGTTTCCGCGTTCTTGTCGATTGGGGATTTGAGCGATTGTTGGGGTAAACGGAGGTTTCTATGAAGTTAGAAGACGTGACATATTTTGGGGAATATGTGTGTGTGTGTTAGGATTAGGATTCTTCAACTGGGCGTTTCTATGTGAAATCGGAAATCTTTACAGAGTATTTATTTAAAAAGCTTTAGAATGACAGGGTACAAACCAGACAAACACTGCAAACAGGGCGAGGTCAAACGCTCCGTCATCGTATCCATTTCACCTAACACAATCCATGCTGTCCGTGAAATGCCACCTCCATTTGAGGACACTGGATCACTATATCAGACAACATGATCAATGCCGTGTTAGTGTTTAACAATAGTGGTCAGCCACGATTAACCAAATTCTATACCCAACTGGTATGCTAGCCAATCCGCAGCAGATTCACATCTTGTGGCTCCATCGACGCTTCAATATCAGTCAGTTATCTAGCTAATGCTCTCTTATTACCAGGACACCCAAACACAGCAATCCCTCATTGCTCAGATATACAATCTCGTCTCCCAACGGCCCTCCTCCGCTTGCAACTTCCTCCCGCTCCCCCCGCTCCTCGCCGAGGGCGCCAGCTCCAGCAACCCCGCCACCAGCTTCTCTGATGCCCCCAGTCAAATAACGTACCGAACATATGCCACCTTATCATTCATCCTAATATCCACTTCGACAGAATCCCCACTAGCCCTCATCGACCTGATCCAAGTCTTCGTCGAGGCGCTCGACCGCCTCTTCGAAAACGTGTGTGAGTTGGATCTGATATTCGGATTCGAGACCATGCATGCGGTGCTTGGCGAAATGATCGTTGGCGGGGTTGTACTGGAGACGAATCTTGAGCGGATCGTGCAGGGTGTGAAGAGCCAGGAAGGGTCAAAGGCGAAGCGGAGGACCGCTGAGGCTGGGAGTGGATCAATTGGTAGGGCGGGGATTCCAGGGCTAGGGGTGCCTTGGAGGTGAGGGAAAGAGACAACGTATTTTTTATATCTAAGTTGCGAAGTTTCACGCTATTGCATTTTCTGTGGTTGATATTTTTGGGCAGAGCATGCTGGCGTTTGGGTGGTTTGTCATCATATACCTTGTCAGCTAGAACATTTTTTGCACAGAAAAGTTGGTTTTTCTATAATAAAGAGAGAGATTAGAAGAAAGCTATGGCTCCCGGCGCACCAGCACTTAGAATTGCCGCCATTCTGGGAATAATATCAGCATACATATCCTGGCGCTTCTGAAGCAAAGATATTTCTTAGGGGCAAGCTACGCTAGACTGTGATAGGAAGGTCCAAAATTTTGCTCAAAACCCCATTTTCTTCTATGGATAGTTTCTTTTTCCTAGAATCTACAAGCAACATAAGATTCTTTCAAAACGAGGCTCCTATTGAGGATCAGAAAGCCTCCACTGTGCATCTAGATTAAGTTGAAAGAAACAACTTATCATCCGTCAAGGAGCACGCTATATCTAAGTCATCAAGGACGGACCGTTTCTCATCCATTCCAACCCCCCCCCCCTCCCCCCTAACATGCCTACCAGCATTTTGAACTCTTCCTTCAAATGAAAGAAGCAAAACAAATGACACCATCAGAAAGCAGCTAAAATACTAGCTCTTGTCTTACTTGGTTACTTCCATCCAGGATAGCGGGCGGCCGGATAATTTCAATTTCAATTCACTATAAGCAAATGGCTGTGCGGGTCGAAAGCTTTGACCGGGGTGAACGATTGGGAAGTTGGGTTTCCGCTTGAAACATTTGCTGTTTTGTTTATAGTGATGGCCAGCATAGGTTCCCAGCGCCCTGAGCCCATTTGCCATGCAGGATATATCATATCCCATCTGTAAAAGTGACGTGCCGCTACTGTCATAAAGATATGCCACACCGGTTTCACTAAATATTTCATACTCCGGTTCCTTGGGATAAAATCAAATTCGTTGTCCAGCATGTGTCCTTTGATACGGCATCTATAAAGGTCTGATTCTGCCAGAAATCGTCGCCAACGATTACGCTTGCCCAGTACATGAAGCCGGAGTCCTGGGGGAAGCCAAATGATACAAAAAAATCCGTATGGAGATAACGCACAACTCCACTATCATCATCACCATCAAGGGCAAGATAAGAACGAACGTAGCTTCGTAGCCCCGCAGGAAGACGACCGAACTTTGCCACTGTCTCATCCAGTGACATTCGCGCATTGCGACAATGACAAATAGGCCAAGGGTCCTGATCTGGACAATCCGAGTAGGTGACATCGTAGACATCCAGGTTATCAACCGCACACAACGGTCCCACTCTGTTCCCCGAGGCGGAATTTATTCGAGACGCTTCCCAACAAGGTTCAGGGTAGCCTTCAGATTTTTCCCATTGACGAACTTTAGCAACAGGACTCAGGATGGGATTGATATCAAGTACCTCCATCCCCATCTGGGAAAAGGATAGGCCTTATATAATACTTAGTTACTGAAATTCATATTGGCTTTCTTTCATGTTAAAAGAATCATAATCATCGTCTGCAAACTGGGTACTTACTTGGTACGTACAAGTATGGGTGCCTCCTTATTTGGACATTGACCGGGTGCATCCCATCTTGCGTCCAAATATGTTCTCAGAAAGTTGACTTGTGTGTACTCATGCAACCTGCGTCCAGTGGAGGAGATTTGACAAGTTTCAAGTATGCCGCAACTATCAGACCACCCTCAAAGGCGGCTTTATACTCACCCGTTTCTAAGCCCTTAGCAGCTCTTTCATCAGCTACACAGCTGTCAGCAGCGATGGCTTTCGCAAACAGATCCAGAGGAATTTCAGAGCCTGTCCAAATTGAGGTCATCATCATTTTGAACCCCTCAATTGATGAGGGAGATCCTCCAAAAACTGCAGTATGCCCAGTGACGAATCGCAGGCGGCGGTTTGGTCCCAATTTCACATGCAGAAGATCAGATATGGCACCGCGAGCGCTTGGTGGGAGGCGGCCAAGCATGTCAAATGTATCTTCTTTGCTTGTATGTCCCTCAGCGCAGTGACCTACAAGCCAGGGCTCCGGACACTATAAACTCAGAATATTAAATCGCTACAATTGAAAAATCTGCTAGTTGGGGAAGGGACGGGCGTGAGAATATAAGTGATCCCTTACATCGATGAAAGTAACGTTTTACACAGAAAAATAATTTCTGCAGTAGCTTTCACTTTCTTTGTCGTAAAGAGTCCTTCTTTGTCGTAAAGAGTCCTAGTCCAGAAGCCCTCGGATGGATGCGCTCGGTCGACTGTAAATAAGAAAGAGATGATTAGCGATTGTATCAGCCCCCAATCTGGTACTTTAAACCAATTGATCCCTAAGCTGAAGCTCAATCAACAAAAAGAAGAAAACAGAGAATTGAAGTATTCACCCTCCTCTGCGGTCCACTTTGACAAACTGTAATTCTGTGGAGGTGGTAGAACTGGGTCGAATTTGGAATACAACTCTCCGGCATCTGGCAAAAGTGCGCGTTGGGCAACCTTCCCGCTTGCCAGCCCGAGCAATAATAATAGACATAGTGCGATGGTCACCATCTCTGCCGTGGAGTATCCCCAGCTACTAGACAGGAGAAGTTGAAGGGTAGGTGGTGCCTTGGATGGATTTCAAAAATCCGAGAGCAGAGGGGCAATGGACGGAGGGACCGGCGGAGGATGAGGAGGCGGGGTTCCATTTATGAAGAATTCAGCTGGCTATAAACACACAATGTGAACAGTCCGGAGATTACAAATGGGATGGATGGGTATCCAGTATCCATGCCGACACCTGCTGACAGCAAGGACAGTGTGGTTCCCAGATGCCTTTCTGTCAATAAGCTGTGAGATCAAGCTTACTGCGTAAAGAACGCAGCCCAGTCTCTACATGAAACACGGCGCAATGATTGCAATCGAGGCAGAATAAAAGCTCCCGGCGCAGACAGGTGCCGAGACTGTGACATTCTCCACGATAGTGCTAGCAGGGACCTAGGCGTGCTCGCAGAGTTATCTAGGCACAACACAGAGGTGATTGAGGAAACCATCCGTGGTGCAACTAGTGATTCCTCACGCTGTAATGTGTTTATGCAGTCAGCATTACTATCATATGAGAGACTCGATGACAATTGACTTGGGAGTCAGGGGCATGCTGTTGTTGCAGGGAGTTGAAGATGGGGCTTTCATATGTTATTGCTTTCCGAGAGAGGCGGCAGAATTGGAGAAGTGAAAGTAGAAGAGGGTATGCCATATGGTATGGACGCGCAAGAAATAGAAGAAGCTGAGAAGTAACTTAAGACGGACAAGGCAGAGGGCTATACTGAACTTAAACAAAGCGGAGGCGGGTACGGAGTTGTCAGCTGTGGGTAGCTCTTCTATGTGGTTCTAGGCCCTCTTTCATCAGTCTTAACTGGTGGTAATTGAGCTCTTTTGCCTCAGTAGCCTGAACATAGATTTGTCTATTAAGATATCTATCATCGACTTCGGCCGGAAATTTTGCAGCTTGAAGGGCTTCGCCACTGCTGCGGCTGTGCTTCCTTCAAAGTGTGGGGAGAAATGGCCCTAGGCTGCCTATCACGGACTAGCGCACCACACATCTGTGCCTCAGCTGCCGATATGCTAATACAACCACTTAGACGTCCCACAAGAACTGTTGGGGGGATTGGATTGGGTGATTCGTACCCTCTATACCACCACGGCGCTGGTGGTGATTGAGCTCTTTTGCCCTAGTGGCCTAATAAGAACTACCTCGGGCACAATTAGTAAGCAATTCAGCGTTCAAACCCCGTGATTTTGACAACCCTCATTCTCGCTTAATTTTCCCGCGCTAAGCCCAACCGGGCTATGCACATTCAACTTCCAGCCTCAACACCAGAGTTGGTTTTCTCTTCTTCATTCCTCTCCCCGTCCCTGTCAACCAACGAAGTTACGACAACACCGACAAAATGGTAAGATTTTGCACTTCCTACATGATATTTGACCCCTTCTTGGGCCTCTTCGGTGTCTTGAAATCGACTTAATTGTCCGGACAAGCATTGCAAGCCCAATGAAGTAAATTTTCCGTCAATCCGACGTCCTCTCTGAGAAGGATGTGCGGAATGGTGATGATATGGCTTGAGTCGATGGGCAAAGCAGAAATGCAAACTCATCGTCTCGCTAGAGTTCAAAGAAGATACAGTATCTGGTGAACAATATTCGCTGATGGTCTTCTTTTCTCAATGACAGCCTCCCAAGACCGGAAAGAAAGTTGCTACCGCCCCCTTCCCCCAGGGAAAGGCTGGCTCGAAGAAGGCTCCCAAGGTATGTATAATTCATTCCGACCCACCAAGAACGTGGCTACAAACGTCAGCACAATCTGAGTAACTAAAATAATATATTCTAATCTAATTGAACCAATGCTTGTAGAACCCTCTTCTGGAGAAGCGCCCCCGCAACTTCGGTATTGGCCAAGACATCCAGCCCAAGCGCAACCTCTCGCGCATGGTGAAGTGGCCCGAGTATGTGCGTCTCCAGCGACAGAAGAAAATTTTAAACCTTCGCCTCAAGGTTCCCCCCGCGATCGCCCAATTCCAGAACACCTTGGACCGCAACACCGCCGCTCAAACCTTAAAACTCCTCAACAAGTACCGTCCAGAATCCAAGGCTGAGAAGAAGGAGCGTCTGCTCAAGGAGGCCACTGCTATCCAGGCTGGCCAGAAGAAAGAGGACGTCAGCAAGAAGCCATATACCGTCAAGTATGGTCTTAACCACGTTGTCGGCCTGATCGAGAACAAGAAGGCTTCCCTCGTCCTCATCCCTAACGATGTTGATCCCATTGAGCTGGTTGTTTTCCTTCCCGCTCTCTGCCGCAAGATGGGCGTCCCCTATGCCATCATCAAAGGCAAGGCCAGACTTGGAACTGTGGTCCACAAGAAGGTAAGCCAACTCCTCGAATACATCAGCTTCGAACTAAATATAATTTCGCTGGTTCTAATATGTTTCATCATAACAGACCGCTGCGGTCCTTGCTCTGACCGAGGTCCGCTCAGAAGACAAGACAGAGCTCTCCAAACTCATCTCCGCCATCAAAGAGGGTTATAGCGACAAATACGAGGAGAGCAAGCGCCGCTGGGGTGGAGGTATCATGGGTGCCAAGGCCGTTGCCAGACAAGTCAAGAAGCGCAGGACTATCGAAAACGCCATCAAGATCTAAACATTTTATCTTACCCATCCCTACTTTTTTAACCCATGACCAAAGAGCAAAAAAGTATATTTACGATAAACAAAGAAAATTAAGTACCACAAATACTAATTCGGTTCGGAGTTGAAATTGTGGAATCCGCAGACAGGCGTTTTATTTTCTCTCTCTGCGTGTTTTCGGTCTTGAGGTGACTTGTTGCGGTGCAAGTTTACAACCGTAGCTAGACCTGGAAAAGAGGCAAAGGACACAAAAGTTTCGTGTAACTAGCTCCTGAATCGAACGAAACATCCACACTCGTCACCTTTTTGTCCGCATCTACCCGTTCAATCTCCGTTGTTGTTATTGCATGTATAATTGGTGTTATCCCCGGACAGGCGCACTTGATATATTTTATTAGCACCGAAATAATTCCGAAATGGAAGATGAAAGTCCCATGTTTTATACACAAGCAATGGTCAAATATAGTCCAAGACCACAGTGCTTCCACTCAAACTAACAAACATATGTAGAGAGGAACACACAACTTTTTGATCTAATTTCACAACTCAAAAATTCGCCACAAATTCAGGTTCGATCCTAACTTTTATATACATTATCATTACCCAATTCATATCTTCTGTCTGTTCTCTCCTATTCACACAGGAGCATATAGGAACCATAATTCTATAGTAAGAATAGTCAGATTAACGATGAATAATATCATGTTACACAAGCAATAGAATAGCGTGCGACGGTCAATGACACCGAAAAGGGAGGAGGGTGAAAGACGAGGGAAGAACAGCTGTGCATCGGATCATTCAAATTAGATAACATTGATAATGATAAAATTAACGAAAAGCCAAAGAAAATCCCCCGCGGTGGCGGGAGTATATAAACAATTGACCAAGCGCTGTTGATACTTGAAGACGAGGCGAGGACGGCAAAGTTGAAGGGGGAAAGGATAAGTGAGAGAGAGAGAGGAACTGCCCTACTTTAAAAAAACTAGAGTGGGTGGGGCCTTGGGGTTGGGTGGGAAGGGGGAGAAGGGATAGAGGGAAAAAAGTCAAAACACACAAAGATATCCGACCAATCACTTTCCGGAAAGATAATAAAAAAATGACCTAATATGTAACCAAAAGTGAGGGTGTGAGTGAGAAAGGAGGTTAGATGTATATATATAACAAAATCATTTTGATTCCGCTTGTGTTACCATCCCCCCCTTTTCGTACGCCTACCTCAATATTCCTCAATAGTTACCGAACCGAAGACAGAATAGTAAAAATGGAACAAAGCACTTGCAGTTTGCCCAAATGAAAGGGAAAGAAAAGAGGGATGACATAATAGAGGAAGTGAAGAAAGGAAAAGACGGAAACAAACCACCACAAAAAAACATTCCGAAATTGATTGTATTTGGGGTATTGAGTATTGAAAAAATGACCATCAAAGGGACTGACAAGCACCCTTTAATTAAGCAAAACGCGAAGAAGGTAGATGAAAGAAAGGACAATCGTTAGAGGAGGAAAAGCGGCGCAGTGAGGGCAAGACAAAGGTATTATATAACGCCGAACAATCCACTGAGAATATACGTCATCAATCTCTCGGGGGGTTGCGGGGAGTGAGCTATGAAGGTGCAGGCCGAGAAAGACCTTGTCGTGCCTAAATTAAATTAAAGTATTCATGTTAGCCGGCCGGTAATGATGTTGTTTCCCCAACCGCAGATTTGGAGATCTGTGCGGGCGCTGAAAACTGGGCGGTGCTTCGAGCGATGTTACTCACCTTCATCTGCTCAATCCTCGCCTTCAGCTGGCTAGTAACTTCGGCGGCGCGCTTCCAATTCTCCGCCGGTTCGCCGCCGCCCTGTGAAGTAGATGTGGATGCAGGCAGTCCATCACCGCTGGACCCTGTCCTACCGCCAACAGACATCCTCCCCGGGCTTCCTCTACCTGAAGAATAAGAAGAGCCAACGGGTGGACTGATTTTTCTCCTCCCTGGATGCCCGCCGCCGCCACCTGTACTACTCAGACCTGGTGGTGATTCGAGGCCGTTGGTGTTTTCTTTTTCCTCACTGGGGCTGGCAGACATGAAGCTTCTAGGTCGTGCGCTTTCGAATCGTGAGCCGAAATGCAGAGCGGAGCGAGATGGTGGACCGTTCATGTTGTGGTTATGATTGTTTGTGTTGTCCTGATATATTCCGCCATCAGTCAGGCCCATATTCAGGCTCATATCAGGAATAGTTGCTGGAGGGCTAGCTGCACTGGCGCGCACGGCCCGAGCCAGCTCCCGCTTCAACCGCTCAATTTCCCTTTGCTGTTTCTGGACATTTTGTTCTGCCGCTTCTGCATCACTCCTGGCTCGAACCAGTTGAGTTTCTTTGGCTTTGACGCTCAGAACATCCCTTGTGTGGTCTTCAATCAGCTGCGCGTTTTGATTTTGAAGTTCATTTATTTCGGATAGCAGTTTTGTTCGCTCAGATTGCAAATTTTCTACCATCCGAGAATATCTCTCTTTCTCAAGGCGAAGCTCTTCTAATTCAGCTCGCTCAATTGCTGCCATCCCGGAGCTTATTGAAGTAGGAGGCGGCGGTGCAGGCTCTGAGTTTGAAGGTGCAGGCCTCCCCAGCGAACGTCCAGTAAGTCCGCGATTACCCATACCGAATTTGGACACTGTAGGAGCAGAAGCAGTGGCAACAGGAGGGGGGTTTTCCTCGAATGGTGGTGAGACAACCCTTCGTGGCGATGCAGGCGCACCTCCTGGTCCAGCTAGCTTCCTTTGAAGTTTAAATCCTCCCCCAGGTGTCGCCGCTCCCGCAGCCTTGGGAAGGCCAAGCTTGGACGGAATTGCCTTCTTGGCGGTGGGTGGTGCCGGCGTAGGTTCTTCGGGTGCTGCAGCGGGTGCCGCAGCGGGTGCCGGCTTCTTAACGGCAGCTGGTGGCCGTTTGGCAATGGGCTTCTTAGCCCCTCCGGGAAGGGCTAGACCTTTGGGAGGCCCGACGATAGGTTTAGGACGTTCCTTAGCCTTGACTTCTGCCGTGTCAAAAAATTCTTTTATCTTTGTTTTCCGAATATCATCTAACCCATCCAAATAGGGATTCATCGCCCTTTCGCCGATAATCTTCATCAAGGTTCCCAGAATTTCAGCACCGCCGGATCGAGTAGCTTCGCTGGATTCTGTTAGTAATTTTGTAGCAGCGTCCGCTATCGACTTTGCTTCCGGTTTGGATGGAACATCCCGCGTTGTTCTCAGACATCGAATCAGAAACCTCAGAGTTTCTTGTTTGACTTGCGGATTTTTGTGCTTAAGGAATTCTAACACATCTTCAAGACAATCCGAAAGGTTGGTGGCAGCAAAAACTGCATCCAAGGCATGACCTAGCGCATCAGCAACAGACTGCTTTTTCTCCTTTAGGCGTTCCATAACAGGAGCTAGAACAGTAGGCCTGTATTTGGAGAAACTTTTACGTAAGCCTTTAGCAAGAGCTTCTATCGTATTGGCAGCCACAGTCACCACTGCAACGTTTGCATCCTTCATGCATTTTGCCAGCGCACGTACTACTTCGTCAAAGGGCCCATCTTTTATCCTAGGAACATTCGCTGCGACGAAAAGTGCATCGAGCGCTTCTTTACGGTCCTTCCATTTCGACGACGCTAATTTCTCGTGCAGGTCCTTTGGTGCCTGAGACAAGACATCGACGGCTTCTGCAAGATCAAAAGCATCAACCTCTGCATCATCAACGTCTGCTTCGCCCCCGTCTGCGCCGTCATCGCCCTCTCCACCAGCCTGGTTGCTGGCTGCTGCCATAGCTTCTTGCTGTGCTCGCGTAAATCGCTGCTGCTTTGGCGCTGGCTCCTGCTTGATAGCTTCGAATAGTTTTTCTAAATCCTGTTGTTGTACTGGTTTTAATTCTCCCCAGAACAGCGGCTTCATAGCGTCTTTGAGCCATCTGTAGAGCTCTGCAGTTAGATTTGTCGCCTCCGCTCGAACATTCTTATCAGCGTGACCGAAAACCTTA